CGAGATTGGGCCGACCTGTATGTCCGACGTATAGCCGGCGCTAGAGCGTACTGCAGAAAACCCTGAACCAGTCGATCCAATCTCGCGAGGTCCAGGCGGGGCGGGCTTGGCTCAGGTGCTGCGGTAACTCCGGCGGGATGGCTGTGTGCTGAGAGGCGGCATGCGGCACCTGCACGAAAAAGAGGTGGAGGTTATTGCGAGATAGTGCATCCGTTGCCACATTAGATGCCCCTGGAGTATGCTGTGCCGAAATTTCGAAGTCGAAGCGTGCACTGGCATAAAACAGACACCTGAGGAAGTGACACAGGAGATGGTCGCGCGCCGATTGTCGATTGACGACCTCGACGACCGCCCCATTGTCGCATCAACAAAGCACCGTCAGACCATGCCATGTCCTACCCCACAGGAGAGACGCCAACACGATTGGGAACAGCTCCTTCACTGCTATAGACTGTCCCGCGATGGACAGGCCGCACCATTGAACCTGGAACCACAGTGTTTTCCAAAACGCTCCGCAGCCCCAACTGCCGGAAGCGTCCGTGCACAAGACAACATCGGGGGGCCGGGAGTCTGGACTGTGAATGATGGCCACCCCGTTCCAAGATCGGTGGAAGGTGAACCACCACTCAATCTCGGCCCTGCACTCGGCATTCAGTCGAACGAAATAATGCGGTTTGAAGTGACTGGTACCCGCCAACAGATCGTATATCCGCCTCAGGAATAATCTACCTGGGCGGACAACATAGGCCGCGTGCTGCAAGGTCCCTACCAGGGACTCAAGGTCTCTCCGAGTTCTGGCAGAGCGACCATGCCACTCCTGGAGAAGAGATCCAATGCGCTGCAGTTTCTCCGCCGGTAAACTCAGTGTCATTGCCACCGTGTCGACCTGAATACCCAGAATGGTCAAAACACACTGCCGGTCCCTCCGTCTTGTCGACAGAAATCCGCGTCCCCAACGCCTCGCTGGTCGACAAGAAGATCTGTAGACCGCGTGCACATTCGTCCGACCGTGGTGCACCGACGATGATGAAATCGTCGATGTAGTGACAGATGCTCCGCACCCCTCTGGACCGCACCACCCATTCCAGAGCGTCAGCTACGGCTGAAAATATAAGGGGTGTTGAGCGGAGGCCAAACGGCAGAGTGGCATCGATGTATGTATGCCCCTGCCATCTCATGCCCAGCAAAGGACGGTCGTCTGGATGCACCGGTATTTGACGATACGCGTGCTGGACGTCCGACTTGGCGACGAGAGCCCCTCTCCCTGCCCGAGAACACTGCCTCTGCGATTGTGTCCACTGATATGAAATGTAGGGAGCAGACTGTCTGGTCTATCCCGTCATTTACGCTCCGACCTTCCGGGCTGGATAGGTCCAGAATGAGGCACCACTTTCCTGGTTGGTGACGCTTCGGAATAACCCCGAAGCTGCTTACTTGCAGCTGAGGCAGTGGGGAGGATGGAAATGGACCGAGAACACGGGCCGCCCGACACTCTTGGGCCAGGTACTCGGAGACGACCTCGGATGCTCATACGCCGAGCGCATATTCCGGCGGCACGACCGTGGGGCTGATCCCGTCTGGTGGTCGAAGCTGATGCGGAAACCATGGCTTATTCCCTGGAGAATGTAGTCGCGAAAACGGCGATCAGGATGGCTCTCTAATGCCTCTGCCCATTCGTCCGCTTTCAGTGGTGTCGTTATCACGGATATCTGCCGAGAGCTCCGAGCTTCCTGTACAGGTCTGCGGGAGTCCAGCGCTAACAGTTTTGCAGTCCATGGGTGAGACCCGATGGGTCCAAGATGTACACGAGGTAGGCACTCAAATAAGTATCGAGTACACACAGAAATCTAGATCCCTATAGGCAGATCTGCGCATATATCACACCCGCTGGGTGGAGGATAGTTGAGTGAATGAACGCATGCCCCCTGCTGAGGTGCTACGCCTGTCCCCCCTGCTGAGGTGCTACGCACAAAACGCACCTGCCATGCGACCCAAAACCCCTTTGACTACAACGTGCAGCTATACACCATGCTTACGCAGCCGCCGAGTGTTGGTAGCTACCAGAGTTTGGGATAAGATCCATTGAAGTAACACATACACATAATACAGAATCATATGAAGCGTATATATTAATGTGCTAACAAGAACAGATATTATAGTTACAGGTAAGTGCCTCAAACAACAAACGATCTTCCCCAAAACATTACGTTTTCTTCGATGTACAGGACCTAGCGGGGTGGTCGCCCCCACACTCCCCGCACACATGGCGATACTGGCATCTGTCCCCAAAGGAGTAGGTGCCTCTGGCGTTGAATTGTGAACAGGTATCAACTGGCCACGGACGCCTCTTTGCAAGCGGAGCTTCCCCCGGACCAGTAGGCTTTCAGGAGCCTCTTGACGGTCCAGGCCGATGAGGGTATTCCGAGTCTCCGTGGGCCGAACTGTCACAGTACGTGCAGGGGGTGAAGAAACGGGTGTATAGGTCTGTATCCAGACTGGACCACAACCGGTTTCCCGAGGCTGCTGCGTTGATACGAAAGTTGCGTGTCATAGGCCTGCCAGTGCAATCCGTCAAAGTTCTGGCTGGCCCGGATGACAGTTAGGGCGTAGGCCAGTAGCTCCAGCGTCCGCGATGGGTCGGCGGCCGCAGAGTAGACGAGGATAGCCAGCATCCAGTCAGTGATGCTGGAGATGTTCCGTCTTCGACGGCGAACCACCTCGTACCCTGGCAGCAGCGAAAAACGCGCTACCTGGCCTCCCAGAGCTGAAGAGTGGTCGGCCGCGTTGACTGCTGGCAGTAGGTCGGCGAAATCGACATATTCGCCGTGTCTGATCCGTAGCAGGAGGTTCTTGGGGATGGTTGGAATGCCGCTGGCCACCAAGACGCGCTCGGTCGCCACTGCGGAAGCCGGGTGAGGCGCACCCAGAAGAGCTTGCGTGAGGAAAGATGCTAGCCCGCTGTCGGCAACGGAGGACGCCATCCCTGATGGATTGACTCTGAGATCGCCCGCCGCTAGCAGGTGACTGATTGGAGTCGTTGACGCTGGCGTCCACGAGGTAGGCGGCAGACCCGGGAAGGAGACGGCACCCCCTCCAACCATCGATGTTAGTGGTAGATCCGGGATAGCGCTCGGCAGGACGCCCAACGACGCCAGCGGTGTCGATGCTACCATAAGCGAGAATACAAACACAACCGGTATTACCCAACGAGACCGCTGCAGGTGCCGCGAACGCTGGCCGAGCCATAGCCGCCACCGCCTGCTGGCGGAATGCATGAACAAGCAACTATAGGCATTGCACAATAGCCCAGATGTAGCTACGCCCGTGTTTGATTGGAATGCCATGTAGAGCTGGATGCCATTGGTGGAACTCCGTGGCTAGGCTAAGCTACGCGTGTATCTACCTCCCCCCCTAACTTAGCGTATCTACCTTCAGGCCCAGGTCGCCGCGAGGTCACCGCGAACGCTAGCCGAGCACCGCCGCTGTCGCCTGATGGTGGAATGCATGAACAAGCAATAGGCACTGCCCCCTAGCCCAAATGTAGCTACGCCCGTGTTTGACTGGAATGCCATGTAGAGCTGAATGCCATTGGTGGAACTCCGTGGCTAGGCTAAGCTACGTACGTATGATACCCATCTCCCCCCCGGCGGAAAATTATACCTTTAGGCCAAGGTCGCCGTGCCTCAGCTCCTGCGGGACGCCGCCGCTGCCAAGACTCTGCCGGCCCGCCATAGCATAACATCCAGCTATGCTGGCGGTCAACAACTCACCGGCTGGAGCGGTGGGGGCTGCTGCCACCGGAGCTGCCGCCAAGACAGTAGTAGTTGATGGGGACGGCTCCCCCAGATGTCTGGCCGACTGCATCATGATCTGGATGCATGCGGGAGGCAAGATCGGCCTGTGCAGCTGACGACCCTTGAGCGACCGTTCCTCCTGCAGGGTTGCTGGCAGCTGCCACCGTCGTGACAGAGACTGTTGACGACGTAGGAGTGGTGGAAGACGACGAGGACGCCATGGCTGAACGAAACTTCTGGCTGAGAGATTCGTGCGGCGGCGATGCTTTGCTGACTGGATTCGAACTTCGCGCGCTTTTTATGGACGCCACGGCGCGATCCGCTGCGACCGCACGCTCGCGCCGGCTGCCCTCCTCCTGGCCGCTGAACCTGCGCATGCGCGTCGTCCGCGTGGGGCGTGGCCTCCCCCGACTACTAACCGGTGCGCGCGTGCGACGTCCGTGTTAAGTCCGTGTTAACCTAGTTACACTGCGTGGAACTTCATTCAAAAAACTGTGAATAGAAAGGCAAAGAAATTGTCACAGGTCTTCAATCTGTATTAAACTGTGTATGGGAACCATTCAAGTCACTTACAGGCCAACATAACGAGAGAAAAAATCACAAAAGAAGGTAATGAATGTGGGCTAATGGCCGGGTGGGCACTTATTAGAAGTGTAACGTGTGCTTCAGTATGGTGATGGTGAAGGTGAGTTGATGGAACCAGAGACAATTAAAAAAATACAAACCATTGCTCAAAGAAGACCACTAGTATACATTCGGAACGGCTGCGATGATTTGCAGAGTGCATCACATCAACAAACACAATAGAAAGCTAAAGTGCAGGAATTATTACAACATACGAGGTAAAAAGGCAAAGCCACAACAAACAATTCAACTACACAGCCAGGACAAGCTTTTTTTCCAAAGGAAAAAATTAGCTGCCCTAGGTGGGATTAGAACCAACGACATTCTGCAGTCTACGAGAGCGCTCTACCAACTGAGCTATATATTGTGTGTGTTGGTATATTGCGATGTGATACACTCAAAAAACACACTCACCAAACAACTCAGATCCCAAATGTAGACAATAGGTACTGTAGCCCTTCTTGGAAGACTTCAGAAAGTCAGAAAAAATTGAAAATAGAGAAAGGGAGATAACACAGAAACATGGTATTAAAACAAAAACTGAAGTGAGTATATATAGTATGTCAGTGATAGTTGGAGAGCACAGGAAGTTGGACACAGACTACAATTGGAACCTATTTGTATGGAGGCAATTTTCAGGGGGCACCACATTTGAAAGTACTGCTTACTGAAATGGTTATGAGCATGCTCATACCACATCAAGGACCCTACAGCCCTGCTTTTATTGCACAGTGCTAAGCCGCTTCATTGCGTGAATCTGTCGCTGACACTCGTATACAAGTGCCATTTGTGATGGGGTGAAATGTAAGTACCCTAGAGGTGAGTAGCAATGTCTACTGCCTCTACAGAGTTTATACATACTGATGATGTTTGGGGCATGCAACTGTTTGTTACACAGACATCACCCTGTAATGTGTGTCTCCACAGACTGTTACGAAGGTGGCTTTCTCAGGACACTAGGCAAATCAGCATGATAGGAAAGGTTGCAAGGTAATGAGCACAGTGAGAAATAACATCACACATGTTCTTTCTATTCGCAGGGAGTTGCAAACTGCGTGCAACTTCCTCCCAAGTGACACCACGAGGGCCCATCATGGGACAGTCTCAATTCATACATACACAGAGATGACTGCCCAAGTGGATTCACACCACCCAAATATTTTGCCTAAATAGAAAGTTGTCCGTGCCAGGGTTTACTGTATGAGTTTGTATGGTTCTGTCCACGCAGTGTAAATCCACCGTGAAGAGTGGATGTTATTAGGTACCCACTTACAGGTCAGTGACAGTTCTGCACATAAAAATTTGCACGAGGGCTTTAGTAAAATACACACTGACATAGGGCATATTTTCACTTTACCTGCAATACACTAATGCAGTGTCGAGTTCCATACAAACAGCTGCCCTCTTTGGGATACTGTAAACAACCTGAGTGTGGAGATCTCTCATAGTAACAACTGACTCAGGTGCACACATACCTGAGTGTGGAGATCGATCCTAGCAACAACTCACTCAGGTCCACACATAACCCGAGTGTGGAGTTCACTTAGCAACAGCTCGCTCGGGTTTCAACACACAAAATTACATCACATTCATGGAGAGCGAGCACAGTGGCATGACCTTTGAATCGTTTTCAAAATTGTAATATATTCTTTTATCCTAAACAACTCAGTGAAGCGGCTTATATGTTCACTACTGCAGAGCTGTAGGGTCTTTGGTTTGAGCAGCAATACTTTCAAATGTGTTGCCCCATGAAAAATTGCCACCAAGGTCCGACTGTATTCCAATTACCGTCTGTGTCCAACTTCCTGTGCTCTCCAACTATCACTGACATACATACTATACTCACTTCAGAATAACATGTTTCTGTTGCTATTCTTCCCTTTTCAGACTTTCTGAAGTCTTCCAAGAAGGGCTACAGGTACCTACAGGCTACAATTGGGATAGTTGTTTGGTGAGTGTGTTTTTTGTGTGTATCACATCGCAATAATTATACCAACACGCACACACACACACAATATAGCTCAGTTGGTAGAGCGCACTGCAGGCAGAATGTCGTCGGTTCGAATCCCACCTACAGGGCAGCTCCTTTTTTCCTTGCGAAAAAGTTGTCCAGGCAGTGTAGTTAAATGTTTGTTGTATCTTGCCTTTCTACCTCGTACCTCGTAGCATACATGTACCTGTATGTGACTCCTATGCATGCTCTACATCATAGATCAAAGGCCGGTGATAATTTACCTTCTCTATTCACAGTGTGTTTGTTGATGTGATGTTTCATATACACTCTGCAAATCATTGCTGTACTAGTGGTCTTCTTCATCATTGAACGCATTTGTTTGTTTTTCTATTGTCTCTGGTTTCCATCAACTCACCTTCACCATGCTGAGCTCTATCACACTCTCCCTTCGCCGTGCTGAAGCACACTTTACACTTCTAATAAGTGCACTCCGGCCATTACCCCACATCGGTCTTCGAGGAATACGGAAAACCGCGCATCGCGCAGGCGTCGAGGATTTGGTAGCAGATACATCAGACTATATCATTATGATAGGGATAAATTGTGTAACACACCTGTGACGTTATCTCACACACAAACATAACTAAAACAAAGTTGAGGCTTAGTATACTGTGGTTCTTCATATTCTTGAGATCGTAGAGTATCATTAAGCCTCATAGTCATTACTGCTTGATGTTGGAGAGATCTAATACTCCATACCAAACGTTGGGACTGTTGGGTCTGGAGCAGTGAAAACACCGAGTTTTCCTGGGATGCTTGCGTCCAGGCATCCATATGCACTGTTGTCAACATGTCTGATGGCCGAGAATTGTCCGTGGGGTGTGACGTGTCTGTAATAAATTGTCTTTTATAGCAGATTTTTTCTTATGCCTTCTCCTTATAGCCCACGCCCAAACTGTGGAGTGAGAGGGTCCGGATACCTGTGAACAGGCCCACCATCCCCAATCCTAATATCAGCAAAGCACTACTCTGGAGGTTGTTGGGGTTTGGGGTAGGAGTGTTTGTTTTTTAACAAACCGTGAAGTGAAGTAGAGCCTGTAATCAAAGAATAAGCATTTGTGATGTGATATTTAGGGGATGGTATTCAAGCTTAAACCTATTCTGTTCGATTCACTGTTGTCCGTGTTCTGAAGGGTTGTTGATGGAACAAGACAACGCTGTCAGTATTAATACCAAAATTAGAGCCCATTCCTATCAACCACTCATACTTACCCACATGACAAGGTGTCTGTTTCGTAACAAGAGGAACTGGTCAAGATCACAAAGCCTGAATGTTTATCTGCTCAGCTTGTGCCCTCAATGGTGAGGCAGGCCCAGGGCTAGAGCTAATTTTTCATTGTCGGTTCCTCTGTCGATCCTCTGTTGGTTCCACTGTTGGTCCACTTGCTGCTAATGATGGGCCATTATAGTCGCTACAATACTGTGTGATACTCACCTGTGTCTAGAAGCGCACTTCCCTCCCAACATGGACCCACTCAGTTGATAGTGCTAACACCAGGTGCCACGTGTAGTAGTAGTTGGGTGCTGCTTCCATCTCCTCTCAGAGGAACATGGACGTCGATAAAGAGGTACATGAAGTAACTGACTGAATAGTGTAGTTTGCTATTTTGATGGATTTAGCTGTTAGCCCAACTCTTGCGAAAGTATCTGCAAAGACAGTTACAGATAGAGCACCGATGTCCCATTGTGGACAGAGAAACAAGTCCAACTCAATGGCAGTCAGCGAGACTGCTGGGGGGTGGGTTCCCCAGCCACGCCCCCCACCCACCCCACAACCCCCCCAACCCACTCCCCCAGACCTGAGAGAGGAGCTCGCAACGCGAAGTAGTAGCACATGATTTAGAGGCCACTAGTTCTGAAGGTTCATTCTTTCTCACAGTGACCAACCGAGCTGCCCAGTTACATTTTCCAGTTTGAATGTCAGGTGAGATATTGTCAACTAAGTAACTAACTTCTGCTGCCACCACCTTCCATTGAGTATATGCCACAGTACGACACTCCCAAAATGTTGTATGGGTATTGTGCATCCCATAGAAATGTCAGATCCATTGATTGGCTCGATTCCTTCTGGCACTACTGCAGTGGTAGTTGTACCACGCAACCTGCACAGGGCGAAGTTTTCTGCACTCTTTCAAACAGTTTACATATGATTACTCTCATCCTCCAGGTAATGCACAGTGACAAAGGAATATGAACAGGGGTCTCCACAGGCACACAGACTCCATGACTTGGTCCTTGACAGCTGTGTTTGTGCAAACTGGTTGAGCTGTGAAACACATCTGAATGCTACTACGTAGGAGCAGGAAATGTCCATATGAGATGTCAGTAGAAACCCTTTCTGCAGATTACGGTTTACTGTCTGTTGTAGCTACTACTATATGGCCATATGCTCAGTGGTTTAACTTTACAGATGATGGCCATATTATATGCTCAGTGGTCATTGGCATCATTTACAAGCTTCAGCAATTTTACACAATGCACATTAGACTTGGCATTTTTCTTTGTACTGCAAGAAGCTCAATTTTTGAGACCTATAGCTGGCCTAGCGCAATTCTTCTCAATTAGAGGGCTATGATAGCCACTTTGGATGCATGACTTCTCTGTGCTAGCACTTATTGCTCATAACTTTTATGTATGTAGCTAAAATAGACTATAGCAAACAAAACTCCTAATCAGTCATTGTCTACCTTATAGTAGTAGCTGAAGACCATCCATGGTTGGAGCAG